TGAACTAACTTGGTTGACTCGTTTGCTTGAAGACCTTTCACTTTCTCCTTCTCTGTTGGTTCCTATTTTTTCCGATAGCCAATCCGCAATCCACATAGTTCGGAATCCGGTGTTTCACGAACGAACAAAATACGTTGAATTGGACTGCCATTTTATGCGGCAACAATTTTTATCGGGGCTGATTTCACTTTTTTATGTTCCTTCAGCTTCACAGTTTGAGAATCATNGGGAGATGTTGAGAATTACGTTGGTTTAATTCTCAGTGTGAATCTGATAAGAAGAGAGTTATGGAGGCAAACAGAGAAATGAGGAAGAAGACTTTGAATGAAAAGAGTAAAGTGAAACCTAAGTATTTGAGTCCTAAACATCTCTGTCAAGTTGAGCCTTCTCTGTCAAAGACTGAGCCATGTGGTAAGATCTCAAAAGAAGATGAATTTCATGATGGATTAAATTATGACCGTCCGATTCAATTTTCAGCTAGTTGTGTCAAATAAATATTTCTAGAAGCTTGATATTTCTAAGCATGTGCAGAGGAATATTAATTAATTATTGTTGTTACAATAGAATGAATAAAAATAGGACAAGTGTACATATATTATTTTCTTTACAATGTGATCTAGTAGTATAAAGATAAGTACTGTATAGATTCAATACAACAAGAAAAGAAAAATTTTTCAAATTGAATTCTCTAAGTCCAATAATCCCTCCCATTCAGACCAACACAGCAAAATTCTGAGAAATCCTGTAGTTGGTTAGACATCCTATAATGAACAATTGCACATGCCTTCTTTCTCGAATATTTGATTGTATAACAAAATTAGCCCGAAGAAGTGTAAACACCTTTCTCTATGAACTTTAAAAGGTTGTTTGGTTTGATATTTTACATCATTTCATAATGTATCGTTCTATAATGTATTGTATTGTGTCGTAATATTGATTGTGATTTAATAATATTCTTAAATAATAAGCATTCAAATATCCTAAAAACTTAATCAAATATGCTATAAATAACAAATATCCTTGATTGCCAAGGACTATTACAGCATAAGGGGAATAGTAAAATAATTCCTGTATTTCAAAGAAATTTTGAATCCAAGAGCTATCGTTTGAGCCTTGACATTTTTTTTTGGTTTCCCATCAGGTGTCGATATCCGGAGGGGATCCAATTAATTCAAAGTTATATCGTGTACGGTCCACTAAAGGAGAAAGCGTTCCCTACAAAGATTTTGTCAATTTCAAAAGTTTAAACGCGAGACCTCTAATTACAAAAAGATGTATGCTACTTATCACCACAAACTTTGGTGATGAGCCTTAACATTATCACGATGTTATCTTTCAATAACAAATACGACCAGAAAGTTCTCATTGACAAACACGAGTACAAAGTTCCAATAAACGTGCTTTGTAGTTGAAATATACAAATGCATGGTTGTGTCAAAGACTGCGATCTCCATCCAGTTCACAATTAGGCAGATCGATATCGTAAGTACTTTACATTTTTAGGACATAACTATTTGGTTCTTTTGACGAAATATTTTCCATTCTGAATGGAAAAACTAAACTGATAACTTTGCACGCCATTAAATTACAATGGCTATGTATCCGTTAAGTTATATTACATGAGTGGTTAGTATTATTTATCCAATAAATCTGCTTTAATTTCTCAAGGTTTCAAGCTACAACTTGTCATTGTATTAATTATTATTATCTATATTATTATAAAAGTACGAATACAATGTCGGTTTACAAAAATAACCTTATAATATTAAGCATAATAACTCATAATAAAAGGACATAACCGGAATTCTAGATATTAGCCTTATAATCCTATCAATTTTAGGACATAACACGTTAGGAATCCTAGATGATTACCTTAAGAATCCTATTAGTATAATTATTTTCGGGCTGTCTAATTAAATTGAACAAGTAAATATCTTTTGTCATGTAATCATATTACTTTTATGATACACTTCTTAAAAATTTCTATTACTAATTTAATTTGAAAACGTATTATAATATCATATTACTAATTTAATTTGAGAATATATTATATTTTCCAAACTCATACAGAAAAATGAGAGCCTATATTTTTATAATAGCATAAATACAATATTAATATATCAAAATAGACCTAAAATATTAAACGGAAGAACTCATAAGGACATAATTGCAATAACCTATTTTTGGACTACAACACCTTCTATGCTAATTTTTAATATTTAAAATTTTAAAATTAATATAATTTTGTCTATTAAATTCTGATTAAAAATATGTAGGAAGGGTTAATAAAATTATTTTCATAAGAATCCTCCGTATTGGCAATACACTACTACTCCATAATGTCCAATACGAAGAAAAAATAAAAGTAATATTAAATGGACTGCATAAAGAGTTGAAATTGAGAGAGAAAAATACCCCAACGATAATTTATTTTTATATTATATTTAAACTATTTTCCTACTCAAATAATATTTTTTAATCAATTTTTCGTTTAATATTGAAAAATACCTAATTATTAAACAATAACTAAGAAAATATTTAAGAATATAAATGTGTGAGAAAGAGAAAATAATTGATTGGTAAAAGTCAATACCACTAATGATTCTACAAACATAAAGATCTAAAAGTGAAATATCATATCAATCTTTTACTCTTTGAAAATAAAATTTATGGTGGATAAAATTATAATTAAGATTAAATATTTAAAAGAATAGATGAACTAAGATACATAGAATAAATTATTTTTTATGTTAGAACCAAATAATTAATTTTTTTAATTAATTGTTTAGCAAGAGAATGTAATTCAATTATTTTTTAAATTCATCACATGAGTAAAATTCTTATTCAAGTTAAAAAAGAAATCTTATGGTACATAAATTTATTCCATAAAAAGAGCGTTAGAACACAAAGTAAAAAAGTTAGTATATTATTAAGAATCAAAATGCTACACAAGTATCTGAGGAAGCACAATAAAAGCTAAATCCTAAACAAGAGTAAGCTTTCAAGACTATATTATAAAGAGTCGACTTTGGTATAACAGGATTATTCTTTGTAGATGCCTCCAGCGGAATCAAAATAATATTTCTATGTCATGTATTACTTGCAAATATCATATTAAGAGGCATGCCACTATTAGCAATAATAGCAAGTGGTGTACCAACAACGATTTTATTGTGAGGCCACCCATTTTAGATTTGATATACCTCTTCAAACAACTTAAATAACCATCGCAAATATATCAAAACAGAGCAATGGTGCTAAATTTATAAGAAAAGCAAAATTGATAATATGGGATGAAGCACTTATGGCTAAGTGTCAAACGATCAAAATAATTGCCCGGAGTTCTAGAGATATGGATATTAATGAACCGTTTGGTGAAAAATTAATAGTTTGGGAGGTGAGGTTCTGTCAAGTACTACCAGTAGTTCCAAAATCGACAAAAGTAGAGACTGTAAAAGATAGCTTGCCAAAGTTATACTTCTGGCCTCAAACGAAAAGATTCAACTGACAAGAAATATAAAGTGAGAACAGATCCAGTATTCGGTGTCTTCTTGCTTCTTGTCGGAAACGAAGAAGAGCATCCCATAAAAGATGATTTGGTTCTTCCTGAACACTTGGTTATCAATCCCAATGGTAATAGTAGTGCATTTAATAAGAGAAATATTTCTATCATTAGATTAAAATGCAATTTGTGCAAATCGCATGATAGAATTAAAAAGATATTTTAGCTAGCAGAAATGAATATGTTGATCAACTAAATAAAAGGTTGATTGCAAATATATATAGTAAAAACAAAATACTTTTTAGTTTTTGACTCAGCAGAAAATGATACCAATAATTACTACCAAGAAGAATACTTAAATACTTTAGTACCAAATGACCTTCTACCATACATGTTTGTTGTCAAGTTTCTTATTTTTTACGTATGTTAGTGTCACCGTATATATAATAGACTAAGTTAAAATTGATCTTCCATTTTATATAGGTTAATTTGAAAGAAAAATATGCCCGTCATGCCACTGGAAAACTTAGATACGTCGAATAGCGTATGTAATAGCACACAAATAGTATATAGAAGTTTTGACACTAACGTCATACATGCAAAAATTATGATACTGGTTAATGTGCTTCTAAGTATATTTTTATCCATGAATTCAACTTTCTTCTTCCGAAACTAAGGAATATCCTTTTAAATTTGTGTGAAAATAATGTTTAGTATGTTTATATTTTGCAAATATAATAAATAAAGCACAAGGACAAACATCATAAATATTAGACTATATTACCGCAATATATTTTCTTGCACGGATAACTGTATGTTGCACTTTCAAGAGGAGTATCAAAATCGACAATAAGAGTTCTGATTAAGGCAGAGCAACCAACGCAATAGGAGGAAACATACACAAAAAAATATTGTCCACAAAGAAGTGTTCGTTAAGATACCATCACATTAAATACTTTTAAACTATAATATATAATTATCTAACTAACATGACAAAATTGATCATTTGTGTAAGTTTTAATGATGTCTTTTTATTTTAAATTTTATGTATTATGCTGATGTAATAATATTTTTCGGTATTTAGATGATTGTTGTATTATTATACATAAAATTTCTCTCATTATTAAATTTTATTATTCCTTCATATAAATAAATATTTAAATCATCACGTGTTATTATTAGCGTGCAACGCATGTTCATAGATACTAGTTATTAATAAAAAATAAAAATATCCTTTTCTTGACAGCCCTCTATTAGTGTCATCTTACTTTCCTTTCAGCCTATTGCAATAGTAGTAATTTTTTCCTTGTTTTTTGGGTCCCCCATAAAGATTTTTTCGGATAACAAAGTATGACCAATAAAAGTCCTATCATAATAAAAGTCAGAATTTTCGGGGAGGAAAAAACGAAAAGGAAAAAGAAGTAATACTGGGCAAAAAGTCAAGAGTTTCTATTGTACAAGCAACCCCCTTTAAATTTTCACAAAAAGGAAAAGGAAAAGGCTCTATGGAAGTTGGAATCAGTTACTATAAATACCCATATGGTCATACCGTAATCAAGTACCCAAGAAAAAAGAAGGTGTTACAGCTACAAAAGCATTATACAATACAAATGGCATGTCAAGGTAAGTTCAATAAGCTCACCATATCTCACAAACAAAATGCACCAAGCTAGTGTTTTGACATTTATTGAAAAATTATCAAGTATATTTGGATTAACTACTATTTTTTTTCTTTCTATTACACAGGAAAGAGTTCATGGCCAGAACTAGTTGGAGAGAACGGCCAGACTGCAAAAGAAACAATTGAGAGAGAAAACCCTTTGGTCACAGCTAATGTAGCTCCAGTGGGATCATCTGGTACCACTGATTTTCGTTGTGACCGAGTTCGTGTTTTTGTTGACAGAGACAACAATGTTGCACAGGTTCCTGTCATTGGTTAGAGATTCACTAATGACTTGAGAATGAAGTAGTCATATCTTTTTCTTAAAAGTGTGATTGTACTATACAATTTGCCCCAATATGAGTTTGATAAATATCTATGTAAACTAATGTTTAGTATGAACAAGAGTGGCTTAATAAAGTTATTTTTGCTACTATTAATTAGTATATTAAATTTGTTGTTATAATATTTACCATAGTACTGTCGAAGTCGATTACTCAAAATTTCAGGTTTGGCAAATTAAAGAAACGTCGCAAAGAATTTAATTAGAACAATAGATAATCCAAGTCAAATCGAGAAAAAAAAATCCGACTATGATTTGGTTTGATTGGTTTGGTGTTGGAAAAAAAATCCGACGATATTTGATTGGTTTGGTTTTAACCAAAAAAAGTCAAACCGAAACTAAACCAACCCAACATTATATGTATAAAAGTTTTAAATATATTTAATACATGAAAATGTTTATTGTAGTGTAGTTTATAAATATTTTTTAAGCTTTTTCATAATTTTATCTTTTAACGAATTATTTCAAGCGTGGACTTATAATTTTAGGATGCTTCAATGAGTTTTATAGTTCATAAATGTTAGTAACTCAAATAAATCCAAAACCAAAATCAAATCAATACTAATAATAATAAAAGACATTCAATTCAATTGTACTATGAATGAAAATAGTGTTGAATATCTATTTTTTTATTTTTTCATGGTTTAGATAGCATGCATAACTTATTTTTCTTTTAGTGTTTAGTCATATAAATAATAGTACTTATGAGTCGTACTTATTTTAGCAACTTATTAGTAATTTTAAATTATGTTTGTTTTCATTATGACTTATTAATAATATTTATTTTATGTGATTTTCTCATCTTTATTGTTAAATATTTTAGTACAATGCCATGAATCATTTGATATTTTTGTTATTTTATTAAAAAATACCTTATATAGTTTTGTTTTACTAGGATTAAAGAAATATCAAATTCTATGTTTTGTGGTATGAAGACTTTATGAAAAAAAAAAAAAAAACTTGAAAATCCGAAAAACCCGAGGAAAATCGAGATTTAAAACCCCGACTTTTATTGATTTGGTCTTTAGATTTAATAACCCGATATAATTAGTTTGATTTGGTAATTAAAAATTCGAACTAACCCGACCCATGTACACCCCGGAGATATCAGTTGCGTCATTGGCATCTACAACTGATTAAGATCAAGATTTATTCCTCAAGTACTACTATCAATTCATTGCTCGTTACCATGGTAAATTTTCTTCCACGTCTTTTGAATTTCTACTAATTAATGATATTTATAATTGTACGTAGCGTCCAGTAGACATTCAGACAATTACTGGCAAGTTTGCTTCCTATTTTTCATGTCTTGACATTGATTATATTGAAATAAGAACGAGCTACCAATTCTTTATTGTCAACTGATTCCATTGTTCAAAGCATCTTCAAATTGAATACGCAATTTGAAACAAGGTGCTTTTTTAGTTTTTTTATTTGATTAATTTATAAAAGGGGTTGCTGTGATGGTAAGCAACCTGCACTTTCAACTAAGAGGTTTGTGAGTTCGAATCACCCTAAGAGCAATGTGAAGAGTTCTTGGAGGGAAGGATGCCGAGGGTTTATTGGAAACAGCCTCTCTACCTCATGGTAGGAGTAAGATCTGCGTACACACTATCCTCCTCAAACCTTATTAGTGAGATTATATTGGTTTTTTGTTGTTGTTATTTGATCAATCGCCAAGCAGTGAACCTTTGTGTTGCATGCTTAGTCATCTTCCACCGAAGGATAAAACCCATATATCAATGTTATCCAGTAAGCAATCTACTGTTTCAATTTTAAGAACCTAACTTTATTTTTAACTAGTTTTAACGAAAGTGGAATGAAACGTACACGGCAGCCTTATTCATTACTTACGGTTCAGAAAGGTAAATTTATTCAATTTGGCGTTCAAATAAAAATGCTGAGGCATGTTAAAAAGAAAGAACTGCAAAGATCACATAAAGGTCTAAGTTAAGTGATTATTTAAGGTGCTAATCGGTAAGAATATTTGAATTTTTCGATTTAGTTTGGTTCCTCATTTTAAAATACGTGTAACACAAAATAAAATCGGTGAGTCTGTTCTCCTTATGTTTAATTTAATGCTATTCTCCAATTTAACACTCTGAAGCTTGGTGTAGTTTCATTTTACCCAACATGCATGTTTACCCTCAAAATCAGATAACAATTAAATTTATAAGTGGTTTTAAAGATATGCGAATTTATTTGACACAAAGGAGTAAATAAAGACAAATTAAATAAGTAAGAATGAAGTAAGCTCAAACCACATGAGGAAGACAATTTAAGTCTTAGTGAGGTATTTGCCCTCGATCTAGGCTCGTAACAACAAGCACTGACGAACGAAAGCAGAAGAACTAATAACAGAAAAAACAATGGTATATTGTCTTGGAATGCGTGTTACAACGTATTTTATGGATTATCAGACCCCCGTTATATAGTAGAGGAGTCATACTTTAGGTACAATTCTATAAAAGGTAAAAAATCTTTTGATTCACTGATTGTCGGTTATTTATCGGTACGTGCCGAGAATACCGCCGTAATATCCGTCCGGTCACGGATATTTCGGTCTTCTATTGGCTATGCTGACAATGTTTCTTCAAAGTCGTTTGGGGCTAGGACCTATTCCGGGATCATAGCCTCGATATTCTCGAAGACGGGCGTCCTGTCTCTGGGTTCTAACCCGGTGGGACTTGGGGTCAATCTTTAATCCTTTATTGTCATGTCTCGAGCCTGGCTTTCCATGTCGGAGGCTAGGATGCACCACGAGCTCAATTTTCACCGTACACAGATAGTCCCCTCGTTTTTTGGAGAGCAGACGATGAGAAACGACATGCGCTTCCGATTTTTACTTCAATACATCGTGACAGAAACGACAAAACAATCGAAACGTCTCGTCATTCAAGTCTTGATGGCATTAAATGCATGTCAGCCGCCAGCCGGCCATTCCTGGATGCGAACCGTCGCTGAAATATTATAAATACCTCTTTCTTTGTTCATTTTAACTTTACATCCAAATCTTCTACCATCGAATCCTTAAGATTTCAATACTTTCTAGCGCTTTCACTCCGGTTATCTGAGATCCTTTACAAGAACTCTTATTTATCTTCATCTCAAGCCAACAAGTACAATCCTTCAACTTCCTTTCTTTCTCCATTCTTCCTCCATTTTAAAGAAATGGCAAAGACTTCCAAAATCGTTCCCTAAAAAGAAACCCCTTCTATTTCGCGGCCGGCTACTGAGGCCGAGGAGATTGTTTTGCGTACTGCTATCGATGAACCAGCACCGGAACCCCCTTTGAAAATGTTCATCCCTGGAGGATGCTCGATCAACGCCTATTTCAAGGTTGAAAAACCTTTCTCCGTACAAGGACAATGTGTGGAGGTCTCGAGATACATCTGCTCGATCATTGAAGAAGTCCTCCCTACGGTTCGAAAAGACTGCAACTGGGCCAATAAGGGCATAGTGATCCCTGACCCCGATGAAGCCATTACCACCCATGTCGAGGGATACCAAAGTGTTTACACTTACCCCTTTACATTGGGCCTGATGGACCCGGTCATCATAGATTTCTGTAAGAGGTACGAGGTATGCCTCGGTCCGATTTATCCTTCGCTTTGGAGGATCGTGATTCTCCTCCGGTTCTTCGTGAGCAGAATCGATGGGTGCTCGTTCACCGTCGACCATCTTCTACACTTGTACAGTCCCCGAATATTCCCGGGGAGGGGGGGGACTGATAAAGCTTGTGCGTCGGGCCAGCAAAGCCCCGCTCTCGAGTATTGATAAAGACCAGGATTGGGGATGGCAAGATCGTTTTGTCCGAGTGAGGATTTCAAACCTGATCCCAACTGAGCGCATGCCATTCCCCTAGAAGTGGAATACATCACGTAAGTGCAATTTTATTTTTGAAAGTTGATTTTATACTTATTTCCTTCTTTCTTATCGGTGTTTTGTGGCAGTGCAACCATCGCTCGGGTCCGACTCAAGGAGTGGGTTGAGGGTATCGTATCACAGATGCCCTACTCCGAGAGCTAATGGCTCAAGCTCTCGAAGGGCCTTTGGGATTCCCGTTCCCATGATGAGACTCCTTTCCTGAGTAGGTAATATTTGGATTCCTCTTTTATCATTAAGTCCTCACTCTCTTTACTTATTTTTGCAGGTTTATCCAAGGATACCGAATTGAGGCCTCCAACTGGTAGCGAGGACTTACCTACCGAGTCCCCTGCTCCTAGACAGGCTGAAGAGAAGAAAAGAAAGAGGGATCTGAGTTTCCCGAGCTCAGAGAAAAAGTAAACAAGAAGAAGGTTGGTGGGCAAGCTAAAAGACATCACCAGTGCCCGAGCAACACCTTAGGATTCGCTTTACCGGCTGAGAGACGAGTCCGAAGAAGAAGAAGAAGAAGCCTTTATCCTGATGATCCACGTGCCATCGCATCTCGAAGGGCAGGGGGCCTCCGAATTATAGAATCTCGAGACCGACCTGCCTCAAGTAAGGAGGTCGATGGGGAGGCTGGGGCTGAGGCTTCTCGAGATGCGGGCAGTGCCCCGAAGGAAGCACTCGATGTGATAGGAATTACCTAATCACCCTCGTTTACTGAGTCAATTTATAACGAGGCCCAAATGGTGAACCGATTCTCAGCTCCGAGTGTGGATCCTGACCAGAAGCGATCCATCATCATTTCTGTTCCAGATGATGCCTGGGTCCTCTCCGCCCCCGTAAGGGTGGCCAGTTACCTTCAGTGTCTGGTGACCAAGGAAGACCAAGCCGAGATGAACGAGGTAGACGCGCCCTACCTGCTCAACAAAGCACAACAGACGCTGAACCGGGTAACTTCAGATATCTCTCGATGACTTCAATTTCTCCTTTTTTACTCAAACTAATCCATCGATACTCCTAACATTTTTCTTTGTATTTCTAGGCCTCAGAGCTTCATCATAAAACTTTCCTCCAGTATCGAGACGAGCTGAACTAGCTAGAAGCCGAAGTTCGAGGGCTCACTGAGAAGAGAGACATCTACAAACTCCTCAGCGAGCAACGTGAAGGAGAGGCTAAGAACCTTCTAGCTGAGTTGGAGGTGGCTCAGAAGGAACACACCGACCTGGTTGAACAGGTAAAA